GTTTTTAAACTGGCTGCTCTCACGGACCAGCTCCCACCTGGCACCCCAGTGTGGAGTGACAGGGAGCTCCTCGGGAGTGGAGCCGTAGTGCACTGGCTGTTGGCACCACCCCCGGGGACTATACAATAGTCGACTAACCAATAGGAATTCATGAGGTTAATCAACTATTCAATTAACCGATATTTAACATCCCTACTCCATGCACACAGCCGGGGAGGGCTAATCACCAGTGAAATTCAGCCCCCGCTTTGTGCAGTCCATGCCCATTCCTAGGTCTCCACAGACAGAGAGAAACCGACCGAGGGGTGTGGGACAGCAGAGGCCAGGTGAACTGAATCCGCTACCAGCCGCACCACCACATGCCTCATTTGCCATGCCCAGCCCTGCCCCTTGCCTTCTATTTCTGTGAGCGGCCTCTCTCGCTTCCCCTGATCTTCCCACGTCACCTCCCATTCAGCCGTGATCAGAGGAGGATGCAGTGACCCCCTTCAGCGGGTCTGCAGTGTTTTATTTTTTATTGGCGGGGACACGTTTGGGGTGGGCTGAGGGTCAGGACAGTCCCCCGGCAGTGAAACGCTCCCTCGGCAACACCAGAGCTTTGGTTCTCTCAACTTACAGTCAGGCTGAGATGAATGTAGAAATGGATCCAGAAGTCAAACCAAGAGCAATCATTCTTGGCAGGTCTCCAGTTCAGCCAACACCGTAAGTTCAAACATCACAAGCCAACCCCCCTCCAAATCACAAGGTTGGCTTACAAATCATGAGACCAGAAACAACAACAGCAACTTTGGAGCTCTCTTACCTGCTGGGTGTTGAATGGTTAGGGTGCCCTCAGATCACGTTTTCTCTGCAGCCACGCCGGCTGTGAATTTCACCTCGCACATGACAGAGGCTAGGGCTCAAGGACAAGCACCAACTCACGATAACGCCTAAGAGTTGGCAATAAGGCAGACTGGTCAGAAAAGTCAGCCACTCGCTCGGAGCCAGATCCTCAGCTGGGGCAAACTGGCCTCAGAGCTATGCTGATTACATCATCGTGTAGATCCGGCCCCGGGCACTTTGTTGGTCTCATCAGAGCTAATCAGCCAGAAGTAAAAGCTCCAAATTCGAGCCTGGAAAAAGTCTCTGCCTTTGAGTGGAGGTGAAAGTTCGGACCTGTTGTGATATCTCATCCGATCAGTCCCGCCAGCCTCTCTGGCCACCCAGGTGCGCTGTTTTTTGAACAGCCTGGTCTGTTGCCAGTTCTGACTTGAGTGGCTTCAGAGCAAACACGATGGCTACTTCTACACTGGCAAGATTTTGCGCAAATACGCTTTAATGCAAGAGTTTTTGCTTTAGGCTACGTCTAGACTGGCATGATTTTCCGGAAATGCTTTTAATGGAAAAGTTTTCTGTTAAAAGCATTTTCGGAAAAGAGCATCTAGATTGGCACGGACGCTTTTCCACAAAAGCACTTTTTGCAGAAAAGCGTCCGTGGCCAATCTAGACGCGTTTTTCTACAAAAAAAGCCCCGATCGCCATTTTCGTGATTGGGGCTTTTTTGCGGAAAACAAATCTGAGCTGTCTACACTGGCCCTTTTGCGCAAAAGGGACTTTTGCCTGAATGGGAACAGAATAGTATTTCCACAAAAAGCACTGATTTCTTACGGTAGGAAGTCAGTGCTTTTGCGGAAATTCAAGCGGCCAGTGTAGACAGCTGGCAAGTTTTTCCGGAAAAGTGGCTGATCTTCCAGAAAAACACGTCTACATTGGTGCGTTCTCACGCAAAAACCCTTTTGCGGAAGAGTTCTTCTGCAAAAACTTTTCCAGAAGAGAGCATCTACACTGGCATGTGCTTTTGCACAAGAGCATACATGCCAGTGTAGCCGCTCTCTTGTGAAAAAAAGCTCCGATGGCCATTTTAACCATAGGGCTTTCTTGCACAATAAATTCATGTTGCCTGCCTACACTGGCCTCTTGCGCAAGAACACTTGTGCAAGAGGGCTTATCCCTGAGTGGGAGCGTCAGAGTTCTTGCACAAGAAGCTCTGATTTCGTACATTAGAACATCAGTGTTCTTGTGCAAGAACTCACGGCCAGTGTAGACAGGCAGCCAATGTAGACACAGCCAAAGACTTCCAGGAGAGCAGGGTCTTTCCTGCAGCTGTTGTTCTGACAAGAAGAGGAATTAGCACCCACGGAGGAGTAGTCTCAGACTCTGCTGAAAAGCCCTAATGTTCTGCAGGGCGTGTCAGCGCTTCTGTGTTTGCCAGTCGTGTCTGAGCAGATCGGGTACCCTGCTTATCTCTGCCAAACCCCGCCTTCATAGGCCCGTTTCAGTGGGTAGGAAGTGCTGCCACACAGATTCAGGAGCGTTTGACCCCTGCTTTCGCCCAGGGGTAACGTGCCCACACCGGATGCCAGCTAGTGGAACATTCCGGCCTATTCCTTTTCATTTATTTCCTAATGTAGGCGGGTAGCCATTGCCAGGAACACAAGATCAGCCCTGCCGTAGGCCCAGCGGTGGTACATACCAGCCAACTCTTGTATCAGCCACCCCGCCCCGTGGGGTAAAAGGAAGCTCCAGAGCCTGAGCCCAAGGCCAGACTGGGTGAGACAGGGCCAGGCGCTGCTGCTCAGTGTATTCCAGGCCTTGGCGCCCTGTTGCCTAGTTACTACCCCTCACCTCACACAAGGGGGCTGGTGTCAATTCCTATCCATCATGCTGTCAATTTAGGCCCTGTCTTGAACCTGGGTCACTATGGCTGCATCTAGACTGGCAAGTTTTTCTGCAAAAGCAGCTGCTTTTGTGGAAAAACTTGCCAGCTGTCTACACTGGCCGCTTGAATTTCCGCAAGAACACTGACGAGCTCATGTAAGATTGTCAGTGTTCTTGCGGAAATACTGTGCCGCTCCCGTTCGGGCAAAAGCCCTCTTGCGCAAATGCTTTTGCACGAGGGCCAGTGTAGACAGCGCAGTATTGTTTTGCGCAAAAAAGCCCTGATGGCGAAAATGGCGATTGGGGCTTTCTTGCGCAAAACCGCGTCTAGGTTGGCACAGACGCTTTTCCCCAAAAAGTGCTTTTAATGGAAAAAAGTGCCAATCTAGACGCTCTTTTCCACAAATGATTTTAATGGAAAAACTTTTCTGTTAAAAGCATTTGCGGAAAATCCTGCCAGTCTAGACATAGCCCTAGTGTGGTATTTGTGTGGGGGGGTTAGTACCAAGGTGTTTCTACACGAGGTGTTGTTACAGCCCCTCTGAAATACGTTCACGGCCTGCGTCTAGTACCTCTGGGGCAGGAGTGTTTCTGTAATATCAGCCCTGTTCTTGCCAACTGCTGTGGGCAGGGGGCCTGCCTCTTGCTCACGGCTTGGCTTTGCTTTGTATTAGCAAAGTCCTGACCATTAGTGCCTAGGCCTCGTGCCTCACACCTGGCCTGTGATATGGGGGCTTGATTCAGACCCTCATCTTACTTCCACCATCACCTCGGCCATAGCAGCACACTGAGGGAGGGCACCCTCCCACCACTAGCCAGCGGCATTTCCTGGGTTCAAAGGTGAGGCCGGCCCGCTGGCTCTGGGGGGTGCAAGTCGCAAGGAGCTGGGGCAGGCCTGGGAGGCTCTGGCAGGCAGCAAAGAATTGCTCCCCACAGGCAAGGAAAGTAGGACGGTGCAACAGGTCACCTCTCTGATGGGCTGCTTAGGTGCAGTGCTGTGTCCGTGCCCCGAGTGGGTTTGCTCAGGCGTTGTGCCGGCACCATGAAATTGGCCACATCGCGCTCGCCTCACGTCCGCCGTGCCCCTTCAGCCTGGAGGGGCAGGACAGAGATTTCCTCGGCCGATCAGGAAATTCCCTTCTCGCCGGCGCTGGCATGAAACCTGCCTCCGAGATCAATTGGGGTGACTGCAGGCATGCGTCTGCATCCCGTGCGGCGTTTAGAACGGGCCAATCAGAGGAGACCTCAACGGGCTCTACATCTTTCCTTTGTGTCTGATATTGAGAATTAATCTTCTATTCGGAGGAAGAGAAATAAATTGTATCTCAGCCAGCGGTGGCGAGGGGCTTGCACATCAGCCCTGCGCTGTACAGAGAGCCCTGCATTCTCTTTGGATGCCAGCCCTACGTGGGCATGAGCATGGGGGGCTGGGTTAGCATGCAGGCAGGGGGAGCTGATGGTTTGCAGTTACCTGGGTAAGGGACAGAGGCTGGTGGGGAGAGCGGCTGCTTGGGACTAGGGAGGTTAAATGGCGGTTAATTGAATAGTCGAGTCACCTCATGAATTCTTATCAGTTACTCGACTATTCTATAGTCCCCTGGGGTGGTGCCGGAAGCCACCGCGCTCCAGCCTCACTCCCAAGGAGCCTCCTGCCACTCCACACTGCTGCTCTGAATCAGGGGAAGCAGCGCGGGGTGCCAGGTAGGAGCTGGGCCGCAAGGGGAGCCAGTTTAAAAACCAGCTTCCCTCGCAGACGGGCTGCCTGTCACCCCGCAGGCCACCAGCCCCTGTCCAGGAGAGGGGCTGAGCTCCAGTACCCAGCACGAGCGGGAACTGAACTGGGTTGCCTGCCCACCCGGCTCCTAATACACTAAATGCAGAGTCGCAGCAGGGGTAGGTCCAGAACCCGGCACGAGCCAGGACTGAGCTGCGCTGCTGGCCAGCCTGCTAAAAAATGTACTGGCAGGTAGCAGGTGGAAATAGCATGTAGTCTATAGCTTAACCTCTATGCTTTTGCGCATCAGTTAATCAACTACACTATTACATCCCTACTTGGGACATGTGGCCAAGGCCCAGCAGGAGGCCCAGCGTGCCAGCAGACAGCAGATGCTCAGCAAAGCTGTTTGATTGCCACGAGACACAGCTCACTGCTAGGAGTCGGGATGGGCGGGTGCTTGCACCGTATGACGGGGGACGGCCCCTGCGTGGAACAAGGCAGCCGCATGTGCTCAGAAAGCAGTGCCCTGTGTGAGTGAGATGATCGTTACATGACGACATTAATGCAGGGGTTTGATTCGTTGCAGATATCAACATGGCTGGGGAACCTAAACCCAACAGACCCAAGGGGCTGAAGAGAGTAACCTCGGCCTTGTACAGGTAGGTGCGGCGAGGGCTTTTCACCCATCATGGATCCCAACCAGGGCTGATCCACAAGTGTCCTGTCCCCACCCAGCCCCGGGCCCCCATGCTCTCCCCCTCCTAGCCCCATGATCCATCCCCGTTACCGGGAGCGGGGGCCAGGGGATGCTATCGCTGCTGGAGGAGCTGCTGGCTTCCTGCCCTTTTCCTCACTGCCCCTCCCAGCAAGGAGAGGAGCAGAAATACCAGCCCCTCCCCTTGCCCCTCCTCCTGCCCCAGCTGGTACAGCAGCAGCCCCGCTGGAGGACAGGGCTGGGGGTTCTGTTCATTTCCCTGCTGGGCGGGGCAGTGGGGAAGGAGCAGAAAACCAGCAGCTCCTCTGGCTTCTGTACTGCCCCCAACAGCCCGTCCCAGCCGGTCTGGCTTGGGCTCCTTCATTGTCCCCTTCCAGGTCCTTGTGTCCCAACTAGCAGGGTTAGGGAGAAAGTGACTTCGGCGGGAGCTGCTGCCCAGGCTTGGGAACAAGGCGGACGAGCCCATTTGGAGGAGCCTAGGGAAGGAAGAGTCAGCTGCTGAGAGCCCCAATGGGCCATGAGGCCAGTGGGCGGCCTCCTCAGGGGGCTGCAAGATTGTCGTAACCAAGACGGGCTCCCAGGACAGGGCAGTTTTGCTCACGGCGCTTGCGAATCCAGAGTTTGCGGGGGCTGCCGATGGAGCCGTAGCGGCGCTGCGATTGGCTGCAGAGGGAGCCCCCGGCTCTCACAAGCATCACTTGGGACGGCCGTGCTGTACGGGTGTGTCACGTTAGTAATACCAGCCTACGTGGACGGAAACCCGCGGAATCCGGCAACACTCCCCGCGGGTAATGGTAAAGAAAATGGCTCCTGGGCTGCATGTAGAACCCAGATGGGCTGTGGGTCGCCCACCACTGGTCCGGAGGCTGAGAGGACAGTGTCTGGAGGAGACGGATTGAGTTCTGGGATGCAGACAGAGGGATACCGGAAGGTTGGTTAGCTTGGGCCCAGATTAGAGTCATGTCACCAAAAGGGAGGTGCCTCCAGGGATGAATTTGAGCCCCAGAGTCTCCACCTCTGGCACCATAGAGCTGGAAGAGACCTCAGAAGGTCATCAAGTCCAGCCCCCTGCTCTAGGCAAGACCAATCCCAACTAAGTCTCGGCTTGACAAAGCCCTGGCCTGGTTGATTTAAACACCTCTAGGGATGGAGACTCCACTACTTCCCTAGGTAACCCATTCCAGTGCTTCACCACCCTCCTAGTGAAATAGGTTGTGGTGGGAGAGGTCCAGGTTGGATATTAGGAAAAACTGAGACCATTGCTCCTTGTTCTGCCATCCACCACTACTGAGAACAGCCTCTCTCCATCCTCTTTGGAACCTTCCTTCAGGAAGTTGAAGGCTGCTACCAAATCCCCCCTCCCTCTTCTCTTCTGCAGACTAAACAGACCCAACTCCCTCCATTGGACTCTCTCCAATGCGTCCACATCCTTTTTGTAGTGGGAGCCCAGAACTGGACACAATACTCCAGATGTGGCCTCACCGGAGCCCAATAAAGGGGAATAATGACATCTCTGGATCTGCTGGCAATGCTCCTCCTAATGCAACCTAATATGCCGTTCGCCTTCTTGGCTACAAGGGCGCCCTGTTGACTCATATCCATCTTCTCATCCACTGTAACCCCCACGTCCTTTTCTGCAGAACTACTAATTAGCTGGTTGGTCCCCAGCTTGTAACTATGCTTGGGATTCTTCCGTCCCAAGTGCAGGACTCTACACTTGTCCTTGTTGAACCTCATCAGATTTCTTGTGGCCCAATCCTCCAATTTGTCTAAGTCACTCTGGACCCTATCTCTGCCCTCTGCCCTCTCCCCCTAGCTTAGTGTCATCCGCAAATTTGCTGAGGGTGCAATCCATCCCCTCATCCAGGTCATTAATAAAGATATTGAACAAAACCGGTCCTAGAACCGAACCTTGGGGCACTCCGCTAGAAACCGACCGCCATCCTGACATAGAGCCGTTGATCACTTCCCGCTGGGCCCAGCCTTCTAGCCATCTCTCTATCCATCTTACTGTGCATTTATCCAATCCACAATCCCTTAACTTGCTGGCAAGAGTGTTGTGGACAGTATCAAAAGCCTTGCTAAAGTCAAGGTTTATCACATCTACCGACTTTCCCATGTCCACAGAGCCAGTTACCTCATCATAGAAGCTAATCAGATTGGTCAGGCACGACTTGCCCTTTGTGAATCAATGCTGACTATTCCTAATCACTTTCCTCTCATCCAAGTGCCTCAATATGGATTCCTTAAGGATCCCTTCCATGATTTTTCCAGGAACCGAGGTAAGACTGACCGGCCTATAGTTCCCTGGATCGTCCTTCTTCCCTTTTTTGAAGATGGGCACTACATTTGCCTTTTTCCAGTCATCCGGGATTTCTCCCGATCTCCATGACTTTTCAAAGTTAATGGCCAAAGGCTCCTCAATGACATTTGCCAACTCCCTCAGTACCCTCAGATGCATTAAGTCCGAACCCATGGATTTGTGTACGTTTAGCTTTTCTAAATAGTTCCACCTGAACCAGAGTGATGAGAGGTGCGAGGGCTCACATCTTCCTGGGGTGGGGAGCCACTCAGCTGATTGGAGGTAACAAAAACGAGGGAGCTGCAACCCCGAGGGCACTTGCCACTTAAGCTCACGAGCCAGAACCCATCACCAGCAACGTTTGCGTAACTTAAAGACACGGGGTCAATGCCAGGATTTCACTCTCGGCTCTCCACCCATTCGGAGGCAAATACCTCTCTGGGCCCCAGACGCCTGTCTGGGTGACCGCTGGCTGAAAGCGTAGCCAGTTGGTGGCTGAAGTGGTGTGTTTCTCTCTGAGCTGCCAGTTAGAGCAGTGGAGACGATGGAGCCAGTTTGCTGTTTCCCTCCTGCTTGTTCCTCTTAATTTTTGCCGGTTAATTATTTCCAGGTGCTTCATAGTGTCCTAAATCAGGGGCTCCAGACTTCCTCTGGCAATTAAAAAGAATAAATAAACGCCTGCCCTACTTTAACAGCCACCAAGTAATAAAACTCAAATCCCCAAAGCAGCATCAGTCTGTCACCTTCTCTCCCACCAATTACAGAGCAGTGGGCTGCCTGCCAGGGAAGCATCAATAAAATGCAGCTGCTCCCAGGCGAAATGGAAACCAGGCTACACCTGGTTACACTGCTGCTGGGAAGACGGCAGCAGACGCCCCACGTGTGGCATTTGATTCATGGCCAGAGAGTCGGACAAAACTCTGTAGTACCCAGGAGAAAAAAACCCTATTCTCGCCTGCTTCCTCTTTCTGAAGAGTCCCTCCGCCACCCCATCTCCTTCCCTTGTTGTCTGCAAGTGCTGCTGACACCACACAGTTAGGGGTGAAAAGAAAATTATTTTCTTCCTGATGGGGGTGCAAACCAGCTAAGAGGAGGCTGCATGACCCCTCCGCTGACATGACCCCAGCCTGGGGCCCCCAACTCTTCCCTTCCTCTCCCACATTGGGGGGGACCCATTCTGCTGCTTTCCTAACTCGTCCCTCCCAGCCACCTCCTCTCCAGCTCCATACAGCAGCCCTGCCAGGGACACAGCTGGGGTTTAGCCGCAAGAACTCTTCTGCAAAAACCCTGCAGTGTAGATGTAGCCTGAGTGAAAGAGATAAAGATTTGAACAGCTCTCCAGGTAAATAGGCCTTGGGGAAGAGAAGCCTGTTTCAGAGGGTGAGAACTGTGAAGAACTCAGTAGGTATGCCTGAGGGAGAAGACCCTGATCTGCTGGGGCACAGCAGACTGCCAAAACCTCTTCAGGCAGAAAGGCCTAGGAGAGAGAGCCTGAGGATCAAGGGCAAGGATTACCAAGTGAGCTTGCCAGGTAGAAAGGCCTAGGAGAGAGGCACTCTGTATCTGGAGAGCCATTCACTGTTGTCTTTGCCCTTTTTCTCAAAGGTCTGAGGCAGAACGCTGACCAAAAGGGGTGACGATTTTAAAAGCTCTCTGGGTAGGCAAGCCTTGGAGAGAGGATCCTGATCCAGTGGGGTGAGGGACTGCGACATCTCTCCAGGGAGAGGCCTGGCAGGGAGACCCTGAGAAACTGGGGCAAGAATTATTAAAACTCCCTGGGTGAGAGAGGCCAGAAGGGAGAACCCTGATGATCAGGGTGGTTGGCACTGGTGGGGGCAGAGGGGCACCTAAACCTTAATCTTGTCTGGGGGGAGAGGTGTATGACAGGGTGGACTAAGGCCTGGCCCCATGCTGGAGGCCCTGTGGTCCTGCCACACCCCAACCCAGAAAAAGAGCAGTAGAGAGGTCCTCCAAGCAGGCAGCAGGGGAAGCGGCGACTCAGGATTCAGGAAGACCATGTAAAAGGAGCTGCAGAACAGAGCAGCAGTCACTTGTTAGGGTTGCCAGGTGTCTGGTATTGACCTGAACAGTCCGGTATTTTCAGCTCCTGTCCAGTAAAAAATTCAGAAAATATTGGACACTTAAAATGTCCGGTATTTTCTGATTTTTTTCCCGGCCAGGGGGTGAAAATACCAGACTGTCCAGGTCAATACCAGACACCTGGCAACTCTACACACACCCAGCAATAGGGCCCAGCCTTCCCGCCACCTGCTGGGGAGCTGTCTGGCCCAGAGCAGGGATGGAGGCAAGATGGCCACCGGCAGCCTGTTAGGAGAGGCAGAGCCCTGCCCCTACTGTTCTTAAAGGGGCCATGCTGGTTTTTTAATTTTTTTTTGCTTCACTCTCTGGGTCTTTTTTTTTTTTTTTCTGCTCAACAGTTTTGGTACTCCCCCCTTTTTTTCCAACAAGATATTTTTCCCCAGGTTGTTTTTTTTTTTTTTTTTTTTTTTTTGCGTGGGGTGGGGAGAGGATTCAGTATTTTTGGTTAAATCGTCTGGCAACCCTACTTGCTGTACGGTGCTCAAGGACTAGAGACGGGGTGACTGGCTGGAAGAGTAGCAGTTCCACAGACAGCTCAGCCT